ATTCCACATTATTACAAATAACTTCATTTCTGGACATTTATGGTTTGATTTCTTTGAAAAATTCCTCATAAAAATTACATAAAATTAGGAATAAGACCAAATATTACTGTATTATTGTAACCAACAAGACAAATTAAGGCAAAGGTTCTCAAACTGGGGTCCCTGGACCCCCAGGTGTACGCGACAGGTATCTTGGAGGTCCTCAAAAATTTTTACTAAAATGTTAATTTGGTTTTTATTTTTAAAAATGCATGGAGAACAATGAACTAATAAAACAAACATAAGAAACTTAATAAAAATATATATTCCTATGGTATTTAGGGGTTGAAATGACAAAAAATTATCTTTTATAACAGCATGGGGTTTATGAGGGGGTCCCTGGAATTTTTCACCCTTGTAAGGGGTCCCCCGACCCAAATGGCTTGAGAACCCCTGAATTAAGTCATATCTCTGGTTCTGTTTATATCAGAATGATCCAGGTATCAAAATGTAGCTTTTAAAGCCAGGAACATGAAAACGTAATGAGGTCATTTTGACCTAATTTGACTTAATCCTCATTTCGATGTGATGGGTCACATTTGCTAAGGGGCAGGACAGATATTATCTTTCACCTTTTAAATGTTGCATTGAATCATAAATTTAATGTTTCCAATTGATAAAATTAACTAAAAAAGTTAAACTTAAGGTAAAGTTGACTTTAAGTAAATGTAAAGTTAACGTAAAATAAATGTTACCTTAATTCAGTTGAGTGGAACCAGCTGACATAATTTTTTTTTACTAATCTATTATATCTGTTTTCTGAGTGTACATCAGGGCTATTCAACTGGTGACCCGCGGGCCAGATGTGACCAAAGTTCAGCCCGTCAAATTGGTTCATTCATCTCTTAAGTCCAAACTCCTGGTTTTCTACTTTAATTACTACGAGTTATTTTAGTTAAACTTAGACATATTTGGTATCTACAGAAACATCAAGCTGATAAAAACATTTCTACAAATATCAAAGACAGTTAAAACTACAAGCAGTTGAAGATAAAACTATGAAGGTGAAAATAAAATTTGGCATCAGAATATGAGGCATAAAGTGTTCTTTTTTTTTTGATAATGTTTAATTATCACTACTTTTATAGGGTTATATATGTTGTATTAATGATTAAAAGCAGCAAAATAAACTATTTCAAAGGTAACAGATCTTTGTAATACTTGGTTTATTTACATAATAACTTTAATTTCTGGATTTTCGGCCCCTCAGCTGTTGGTCTGCAGTAACTGTGGCCCTCGGAGCAGTTTAGTTGAATAGCCCTGCTGTAGATCATGATTTTTGTTGAAGTTGTCACAGTTTTGTTGAACTCTGACCCCTGAAGTGTGTTTCACTAACAGGTACTACCTTTTCGCTTTGATCCTCAACCTGACTCGAGACGTCTACGAGCTCTGCCTTCTCCTGGACGCCGAGGCTCGCCACAGAAGCACCAAGTCTCCTCCCCCTCCCTGTGACAGCAGCACCCTCCCTGCCGACCACCTCTCCACATCCTCCTCTTCATCCGCCCTTCCCACCGCCGTGGCTCCGCCCCTCGCCTGCCTGCGCAGGCGTCTCCATCAGGCGCTGACGGTCCTGCACAACAACCCGCCGCTCCTGCTGGACCTGCTGAAGAACGCCTGCGATATTTTCATCCCGCTCGACAGGCTGGGGATTTACCGGACCGGGCCGGGCTTCGTCGGGACTTGCGGCCTAGCCTCCTCTGTCCTCTCCATCCTCACCGTAGTCCAGCCGTGGCTCAAACTGAAGCCGTAAAGCCGGTCAGGAGCGTTCAAAGAATCTGTAGGCGAACTGTACTGACGTCATACTGCTAATGATTGTAACATCCCACAGCAAGCAACTAATGTGGAGGACTGCTTTCTGTCAAACGACTCATTTTCCTGCACTAACCAGAGGCCAGATGTAAAATAAATGTGAAATTTTATGACCAAAACTGTGTGCACATAAAGACAGAAGTGTTCTTTTTGTTATCTTTGATCATCTTAATCATTATAACCTGTACTTTTTTAACAACCAAAGCCATTTAGTGTTTAGAGGTAGAAAAGTTCTGTAAATTCTTTAGAAAGAAATCTTCAATTGTCAGTTTTCCAACAGTGCCAGAGCAAACGCTCACTTAAGATTTTATTTAATGAAAAACAGAAAGAAAAACATCCTTTTCTATTAAAATCTTTGTTTTATCAACATATCAGATTAAAAGTTTGCATCAGTTTCAATAATACCTGCATCTGTTACAGGAGAAGATGTGCAGGTGCAGAAATAAAGTGCTGTTCAATGAAGAAAAGCAGGAATCCACTGAATTTCTCTAGAAAAACTCTCTCATCTGACTCCAGTCAGCTGCTTTAACATTATGGCTGCAATAAGAAAATATAAAAAAGAATATGACTTTATTCTCATAAAATTACGACTTCAATCTCATAATAATAAAAAAAGTGAGGCCCTAATAATCCATTGTAACATATACTCTAAATTAATTCAATAATATTCAGTCAATCCTACCTGCTCACTCTGCAGCAGGACGGTTCTGTTTGTTGGTTCTGACTGAGAAGCTACAAGACAGTTTCCAGTTATGTGGTGTCGCATCATTTATAATACATAATGTTATTTACCACAACGCTACAGATTCATTGACTTGATAATTAAGTAACTTGAACGGTGGTTTGCAGACAGTTCATAGGGACGTGGATACATTTTTAATCCTACACCAATATTAAATCTGACAGCGGATTCCAAAAGAACATTTCAAACCATACAAAACAACACCAAAATCATGTGATTATCTCAAGTATGAAGTTATTGATGTTTGTTTAGGTGAAATAAGCTCGTGTTTTCTTGCTCTGTGACTATTTGACCTTACTGTTTTTGCTCGTAACTTCCTGTGTTCAAGATATCGCCATGAAATTTTAGGAAGTTTCACATTCTGGTTTTTGTAGGTATGGAAGCGAAGATGTAACAATATTGTAATTAAAATGGATTAATAGAAATGCTGTTTCATTTTCAACATGTACCTGAATTTTTTGACTCATAAGTAAAATTATAAATCAATCATCCAAACTGTATGTTCTTTTTCTTCTCCAAGACTGCTCAAAGTGTAAATTAATTAAAATGTT